CGCCGCCACCTCCACCTCCTTGCGCGCCAGCTGCTCCGCGTACAGGAAGAAGGTGGGCTCGGAGCCGGAGGGCAGGGGAAGATCCTGCGGGAGAACCTCGCCGGAGTCGCGGCCGGGGCAGTCGCCGCGGGGGCCGTCGGGGTCGGCGCGGGGGGCCTGGAGCGGGTGGGGCAGCGCCAGGGCCCGCAGGCGCTCCAGCTCCTGGTCCTTCTCGGCCAGCACGGCCAGCGCCCGCTCCCGCTGCTTGTGCATCTCCTCCTCCAGGCGCAGCGCCCGCTCCCGGTACTCCAGCTGGCACCTCTCCAGCTCCTGCCGGTGCAGCTGCTGCAGCTGGGACAGCTCCTGCTTCTTGGCCTCCACCTCCTGCCGGTGCCGCCTCTCCGCGTCGTCCGAGGCCAGCTGGAGCGCCACGTACTTCTCCTTGAGCTCCGCCAGCTGCTCCTGGGCCTCCTCCAGCTCCTTGGCCAGGTTGATGTCCTTGCTGGACTTGTTCTTGAGGACCAGCTGGGCCCTCACCTTGTAGCGCTCGAACTCCTCCTTCAGCTGCCTCAGCTCCTGCTGGTAGTACCCGGCCGTGGCCTTCTCGCCGTCCCCAGAGCCCCTGGGCAGCTCCGGCTCGCACGGCTCCTCCACGTCCGCCTGGCTCTTCCCGGTGGCCGCCTGCAGGAGCTTCTTCAGCTTCTCCATCTTGTCCTTGAGGACGTTCACGTCCAGGTTGGCCTCCTCGCCGTGGATGTCCCCCGGGGCCCGGCTGGAGGCGGCGATGGCCAAGGTCTTGTTCTCCAGGTCCAGCTGCACGATGCGGTCCTTGAGCTTCTGGATGACCTGCTGGTCCTTCTGCTTGGCCTTCTCGTAGGTGCCCAGCAGCTCGGACGCCTGGGACACCTGAGCCTCCAGGTCGGCCACGCGCCGCTCCTCCATCTGCGCGCGGTGCCGGAGCTGCTCCTCGGCCTGGGCGGTCTGGGGGCACGGATGGGGCAGGGTCAGGGCAGCATGGGGGGCACAGGGAGCTCAGCCCCGCTCTGCCCCACCCCAAACCACTGCGGGGCCTCCCCTTCCCCCGGGAATCCCGCAGGAGACACCTCCCGGCCTCAGCTTTTTGGGGACTTGTGTATTTGGAATCATGGAATGGTTTGGGTGGGAAGGGACCCTCAAGGTCCTCTGTTCCCACCCCCTGCCACTAGATCCACTACTCCCACGGATCCTCTACCAGACCAGGTTGCTCCACACCCCGTCCAACCTGCTCTTGGACACTTCCAGGGATCCAGGGGCAGCCACAGATGGATGCTCTGGGCAGCCTAAGCCAGGGCCTCCCCACCCTCCCAGCCAGCAATTCCTTCCCAGTCTCCCATATAACCCTGCCCTCTGGCACTGGGAAGTCATTCCTTGTGTCCTGTCCCTCCAGGCCCTTGTCCAAAGTGGACTCTGATGGACTGGGAGGGGAAATTTGGCTCCTCCAGCCCCAAACCCTTCCCAAATCCCTGAACACACCCCCCCCCCCATTCCCAGCCAGGACTCACCTTCTTCATCTCCTGCACCAACTGCACCTGGAAGTGGTTCTTGAGCCCGGCCATCTCTTCTTGGAGCTGCTGGATGCGGGGGTCAGCCTTGCTGTTCTCCTCCCGGACGCCCTGCAGCTCCCTCTTCAGCTCCTCCAGCTCCTGGCTCAGCTGCCGCACGTGCTGCTCGTGGCCCTGCGCCCGCTCGGGTGCCCCCGCCCTGCCCGGGGGCGCGTCCCGGCCCTGCTCCAGCCGCAGCTCGGCGTCGCGGCGCAGCTCCCGCTCGGCCCGCAGCAGCTCCTGCAGCTCCCGCAGCATCTCGGCGTGGTCGCCCTGCTCCCGCGCCCGCTCGTGCTGCTGCGCGATCAGCCGGGCCTTGGTCTCGGCCAGCTGCTCCCGCAGCCCCCCCAGCTCCTGCGCCAGCCGCTCCGCCTCGGCCCGCGCCCGCCGCGCCGCCTCCTCCAGCTCCTGCCGCACCTGCCGCTTGTCCGCCTGGTACGAGGCCTCCATGCGCGACTTCTCCTGCGTCACCGTGGCCAGGGCGCTCGTCAGGGTGGCCAGCTGGGCCTTCAGCTGCAGGAGCCTCCGCTCGGACTCGCCGGGGTCCCCCTCGGGGCCGGGGGGCTCCTCGGCTCTCTGGGCCGCGGGCCTGTCGTCCTCGGGCCCCGCGTCGGCCCCGGTGGCGCAGCTCACGCTGCTCGTGGTGGCCGCAGCGTCCCCGGCGCTGGTGGTGTCCCCTGTGCTGCTGCTCACACTGGTCCCACTGGCCCCCGTGTCCCTGCTGGCCCCGCTGGCCCCCGTGTCCCTGCTGGCCCCGCTGGCCGCGGTGTCGGCACTGGTAGCCGTGCCCGTGCTGTCCTCGCTGTGCTCGGAGCTCCGGTCGTCCAGGGGGTCCCTGGGGCCGGGCGCCGGGAGGTGGCCCTCGTGGGACACGGAGAGCACCTTCAGGCTGGCCTCCAGCGCCTCCTTCTCCTTGAGCAGGCTCTTATAGGCCAGCACCACGTCCTTGAGCCGCGCCTGGTACCGCAGCAGCTGCTGCTTCTGCTCCTCGATGGTGTCCAGCAGGTCCTTCCTGCTGGGGCCGCCCCCAAAGCTCATCCCGAACTTCTCCATGGCCTGGGCGGTCTGCGGAAGGGAACAGGGAAAGAGGGGGAAAGAAATGTTTGGGATGGAAAGGAGAGGGTGGGTGGGCTGGAATGTCATCCTGGAACACCCCCAACTCCCCCCCCCCCAGGACACCAAAGGAGCAGGAACATCATCCTGAACCACTCCCAGGACCCTCATGTTGACCCACCCCGGACACCACTGTGCCACCCTCCCCCCCAGGGCCCTCATCCTGACCCCCTCAGGACCATCCTGATGCACCCAGACCCCACATCCTGACCCCCCCACGGACCCACATCCCGACCTCCCCACGGACCCTCATCCTGGAACTCCCAACCTGACCCTTTCAAGACCACCCTGAGCCCCCAGGACCCCCACTCTGACC